AAGATTCCGTTTATCAGAAAAAAAGGACTTTAGTACATTACGGTTGATGGGCAAAAATGGACCCATGTTCTGTGCGGTTAGCTGATTTGTGAGCATGGATGGTTAACTCTAGGCCTAATCTTTGTTTGCAGCGGCATGATTCAGAAAGATTCCTTTTAGTACTCGCATAAAAAAATGCATTTTATGATTTCTAGTTAAATATACTAGTTTGGTTTGCATGAATAAACTTCTGCCGGAAGTTAGTAAACTGTTTCATGCATGATGTCATGACATTATATTTAGATTGCTTTACAAATAGAAGGTATCTTATTTAGAAGTTTTGTTAGATGCAATGACATAGAGTGAAGTGGATGGTCTTCCTTGCTTTTAACTTCTCTAGGAAGTGAAGTTTGTCATGAGAAGCCAAGTGTGGAATGAGACGTTTGGAAATGTCATGATGGATTGCTGTTCTTAGAAGTCAGCGGATCTTTATTATGTTGAAGGTAATGCTGATCTAATCCTAATGAATACATTTAAAAGAATTTAGGTGTGGCATCAATAGACGATAAGATGAGAGAAAGTCGACTTAGGTGGGTTGGTCATGTGTGAAGCAGACCTAGTACAACACCTGTTAGGAGGTGCAAGTTAGTTCAAGTGGAAGGCTAAAAAAGGGCAAGGGGTAGGCCCAAAGAGACATAGTTGGAAGTAGTGAGAAAAGACGTGGACTTATAGCCTCATTGAGAGTATGGCTTTTAATAGAGCAAAATGGCGGACTAGGATTCGTGTAGCCGACCCCAATTAGTTGGGAAAAAGCTTCGATGATGATGATGATACTGATCTAAGCTTAATAAATGATTTATAAGCTGGGGTCAGGAATTTGGATCAAAGGGAAGGAGGCAGTGATGGAAACACAATATTTTTTAGAGTGTTTATTATCTCTGCCTGTGTTCTAATAGGCTGCCTATTCAAGATGATCAACTTCTAAATCATTTCGTTTCGAGAGACGATGAGTTGCTGAAAATGGTTTATTGCTAACTTACCAGTTCTGTTACAAACCAACCCAGGCTGGTGGCCTTCAATTTAGAAGCTTGATTAGTTTCTGAAAATGGTTTATTGCTAACTTACCAGTTCTGTTACGAACCAACCCAGGCTGGAGGCCCTTCTATTTACAAGCTTAATGGTGGTTCATATGGTCCTACGAGTCAAAAGTATTCATGTTTTCAGAGTCCATAAAGTTTTTGGGAGAGAATATTTCTTTATCGGCACTAACAGTATTGATGCAAACTTTTTCTCTCTAGGAGTGGGAAGGAGAAAATTTTGGTTGGGTTTGGGTTGAGTAGTTTGAGACATCTGCTTGCTTATGTAATTGAGGTATTGATGGATGGATGCAAGATGTGATTCTGGCTAGAGAGATAGTTCATGGATGTTTATGGGATGATTTTGTCGCTTTCCTTACCTCAATATTTGGAGTAATTGTGTTTCTTGAAAAAAACTTATTACATTGTCCCTAAAGAAGTGAATAAAAAGAAAATAGCATTTCGATGCTAATTTAGTAATGATGCTTTCCTTTTCTTAGGACTTAGATGCCATTCACGTTCTAGACTTGAGAAAATATACTTTGACCTGCACAACACTTTGAATTGCTTGTTCTTCATATCGTTGTTTATATTGCTTGTTTGTTGTTTACTAAATCTAGCTTTAGACGCATATGAAAATGTTTAAGTTTTCACGGATGGCCAAATTCCAAATGCCTCACAATTTGGAAATCTGGATCATTGCCCTGGCAACACCTTGTGCTGTATGTTAAATACAAATTTTTTGGGGTAAGTATATATATTATTATTTGGAGAAAGGCAGAATGGAAATGGAAGAAGTTGCTAATTGACAGATAATGGAAAATATCGTGTATAGAATTAGATCTGGGTGGGCGAAGTGGAGATGTGCATCTGGAGTTTTATGTGAGTGCCACATACCAATGAAATTGAAGGGAAAGTTTTATAGGATGGCTGTAAGACAAGCCATGCTTTATGAGACTGAATGTTGGGTGGTTAAGAAATAACATATCTATAGGATGAGTGTAGCTGAGATGATGACGTTAAGATGAATGAGTGGCTACATAGGATGAGTATAATTCTTTCTGTGATATATTTTTTTTTTGTCGTAATGGCCAATTGGCTTTCATGATGATGTAATTTGCAAAGGATGATGTAATGAAATTGTTATTGATTCTCAAAAAAGAGTGGCTAGATGATAAAGAATAAAATTTGGAATGAATACGTATGAGGGAACTTATGGGTTGACGATAAGATGAGGGAAAGTAGACTTAGGTGGGTTGGAAATATATGATGACCTACATCAAGGTTGTTTGTTGACGTAAATCTAGCTTTAGACAATATATGATCAGAATGTTGGGTTTTTATGAATGGCTTCGATCCAAATGCCTCAC